TCCAGCTGTCTCAGAGAGATCCAGAGAGGCCCAAGTTGAGGTCAAGGTCTTGGGAGAACCAGTTCGAATCAAGCATTTTAAAATCGATTTTATTATTTTTTTTTTAAGTCAGGACAGAAAGACAAATGCTGTGTGTTCTCAGCCATCTGTGGAAGCTTAAAATAGTTGATCTCACAGATGGCAGACTAGTTAGTGGTCACTAGAGGGTGGAAAGCGGGTGAGTAAAGGGAGACAGAGAACAAGGCCTGAATACAGTTAGGAAGAGTATGTTCCTGAGTGGTAGAGCACAGTAGGGTGATTGTAGTTTACAACAATTTATTATATATATTTTCCAAGGAGCTAGAAGAGCGGAGTTCAGAGGCTTCCAACCCAAAGAAATGATAAGTGATTTTAAATGATAAGTGACGGAAATGCTGATACCCCGATCATATTCATGTTTTGAATTATCATATTGCACTCCATAAATATGAACAATTATTGTGTGTCAGTTAAAAATAAAAAAATAAAAATTTATGTATTTTTTAAATTGATAAGCCACAGCTATACCTTTCTACAATGCAGACAGGACTGCGAAAGTTGATAGGAAGATAGTCTCCTTTCAGCTTGAGCCTTTTTCTCTGTTCTCAATTGTGTGTCTGTTGAGTGTCTGTTTTTGTTTTTTAATATATATTCTTTTAGTTGTAGTGGGACACAATACCTTTATTTTGTTTATTTATTTTTATGTGGTGCTGAGGATCAAACCCAGTGCCTCACATGTGCAAGGCAAGCGCTCTACTGCTGAGCCTCAGCCCCAGCCCCTGAGTGTCTGTTTTTATCAACCACATTTGACCTCTGTTTTGTGGTCATCACGTGTGGTCATCATGTACCAAGTGCATTGAGCCATCTGAGCTACACAGCAGTCCTGGGCCCATTCCTGCAAGGTGGTATTGGGGTTTGAAAGACAGAGCTCATGTATGCTTTTCTCTAGGTTGGAGGTTGGCAATTTTTAAAATTTTATTTTATTTTCTAATTTTTAGTAAAGAGCCAGAGAGTAAAAATTTTTTCAGTTTTTCTGCTCATGTGACCTCTGTTACAACAACTTAGCTCAGTCATTGAGCTTGAAAGCATTAGTAGAGAATACATAATGGATGAACACGGCTGTGTGCCAGTAAAACTTTATTTAAAAAAAGGCAGTGGGCTGAATTTGGCTCATAGACTGTGATTTGTCAACTCATGCTCTAGGAAGCTGTCCTTAGGTCTCTGCAGGGGTTTGGTTACAGGAACCTGCAGGGATACCAAACCCCTTGGATGCTCAAGTCCCTGATATAAAATGGCCTAATATTTGCATTGAATTAATGCACATCCTCTTATATACTACAAATCCTGTCTAGATAATTTATAATAACTAATACAATATAAATATTATGTACATAGTAGTTATATGATATTATTTAGAGAACCAGTACATACATGCTTAGTACAGGTGCAATTATTATTATTATTATTTTTGATTTTGGAGCTGGGAATTGAACCCAGGGCCTGGCACATGCTAAGCACACCTTCTACCATTGAATATTTTTGATTTTAGGTTGGTTGAGTCCGTGGATGTAGAATTGCAGCTATGGAGGCCACCTGTTCTGTCCTACATCTTAAAAGGAAGAGGAAAGGAAAGAGTCAAAACTCCAGGCTCCGGAGTTTTCCTGTCTAGTTTGGATTTCAGCTGAACACTCTCTTGGTGTCCAGGGGCAAATCTGTGCTCCCATTTAATGATTGGGAACTTAATAAATCAGGAGAGGGAGGAATTGTCCTTTTCCTGCATAGTTTCTGGTTTGTGACTATGAGTTTTTTCCAGCAAGGTGAGAAGCAGCCTCATGTCTCAGGTGACCTGTCCATCTGGAGCAGAATCCCTCCTGGGCTGCAGGTTGGAAACCAGGTTCAGACCTGGAGGATGCAGGGGCCTTGACTGAGGCAGACATCCCATCCCTTGGAAGAGGATGAGGAGCAGAGGAGGACAAGAAGATAGTGATTCCAGAGAAACAGCTGCTTAGCCAGTGGCAGGAAAAAGAAACCCAGGGACCTACCTAATGTGGAACTGAAGCCACCAAGAGACGCTCAGCCATGACCTGGATGTTTCAGGCATTGGGAGTGAGGAGGGGTGGCGGGGGCATGATCCCTCACGAGAGTAGCCTTTATAGGTGTCACAGTCACAGGAAAACCAGGCAAACAAATCAGGGACACAGTCCAGCACAGGGTACAATACTAAATGTCTTCTGTTGGTTTGGAGAGCTTTTCCCCTGAGTCGGATGAATCTGGTGTATTGCTCAGGAATCAGACATCCACTCAAGGGGAAACTGAAAGGAATTTAAGATAAGACTCTTGAGCAAAGTTGGTGTGGCACTTGGGGATCACATGGAGGGGTGGTGGTCAGAGAGAGACATTATCTTCAGGATTGAACAGGCAGGGCAGGGACTCAAAGGAGAGCTTTGACTGTAACAGAGGATTGTCCCACGGGACATGGTCACAGATAGAGGAATGGAGGGCTTCATCTTCATTTACTCCCACCCTTTATTCTCCTGCCATATTTCTTTGCTGCCTAGATAGAGAGACCAATGGTTGGGGGAGCCTGGGAGTCTATCTAAAGAATTCTTTCTGCACCTGGCACAGGGGTATGGCCACTCTTGCTGGGAGTAGGTCAGTGTAGGTCAGTGGCTTCTCCCCCAGGCAAGGAGGCTCAATGCCCAGAGCCCAGGATATTTTCAGGGACCCATAGAAACATTTTCATTTCTTTAAAAATAAGAAGAAAGCATTGAACTTTTAGGTCAAAGAAAATGATTCAATATATAACATTAATCTATTTTTTTAATCTATTTTTTTCTGGTAGGAGTTGAATTGCAGAAAGTACTTGTTTCATTAATCATTTTAAATATTGAAATGACAACATTTTTCTCATGACATATTTTCCTCATGAGCTTAAGCAAAATGTTACAGGTCTCATTGTCACCACTGCCATACATATAATGTGATGGATGCATAAACTGTGTCAATTTAGCCACATTGATCTATTTTGGACACTGATCAACAGTGCCCATTCTCATCTAGAATGAGCTTTGATAGAAAATTTTTAAAATTGATGTGAAATTCAGATAAGATCAAACATTGGAAAGTGGCACTCAGTGGCATTTAGTACTTTCTCAATGTTGTGCGGTCATCATCTCCATCTAGCTCCAAAATCACATGTCAGCAGGCGTGGGTGGTGTGTGCTTGTAATTCCAGCTACTTGGGAAACTGAAGCAGGAGGATTATAAATTCAAGGCCATCCTGGGCAATAGTGAGATCCCATCTCAAAAGCCAACCAATCGCTGGGAGCAGTGGTGCATTCCTGTAATCTCAGAGGCTTGGGAGACTGAGGCAGGAGGATTGCAAGTTTAAAGCCAGCCTCAGCAAAGGCAAGGTGCTAAGCAACTCAGTGAGACCCTGTCTCTAAATAAAATGCAAAATAGGGCTGGGGATGTGGTTTAGTGGCCAAGTGCCCCTGAGCTTTATCCCCGGTTCCCTCCGCCTTCCCCAAAAAACCCCACCCCAAATCCACCAATCAACAAACAGAATAATATACCTAAGTTCGTTGTCTTGCAGTGGGGGCAATGTCCTGATAAATCCCTTGTAAGCTGAACATACTGTAAGTCAAAATTGCATGTTAGAGCTGGGCATGTAAGTCAATGATAGAGCACTTGCCCATCTCATGTGAGGCCCTGGGTTTCATCCCCAGCACTGGGGTGAAAAAAAAAAAGCCTCGAATCTACCACTGAATACCGGAGCTTAGCAACACAGCACACTGTGGAACGTGGGTTGTTTCTGCTCATGATGGCCGGATTGGCTGGTAGCTGGGGCTTGCTGCTGCCTCCCAGTATCACCCAGCAGTGTCATGGTGCTTATCACTAGCCTGGGAAAAGATCAAAATTCAACATTCAAAGTATGATTTCTACCAAATATGTTTCACTTTGAAACTTCGGAAAGCTGAAACACTGTAAGTCAAGGTTATCTGTATTTTCCTTTACACTAATGCAGTTCCAATTGAACTGCATTAATTTAAATTCAACATTTTTTTTTTTTTTTTTTGAGAAAGGGGTCCATGAAGGGAAAATTTCTCAGGTCCATGAAAATAGCAATTTCTTAGCTGCTCCATACGTTTGAGGTATTTATTGGGAAATGGATGGGCAGGTTTTATTTTTACATGCATTTTATTTATATTTATGAAAAACAACATTCCAGGTAGTGTTCTGAAGTTTCTAATTTGGATACTTTTTAAAAGATAATACTTTTAATAAGGATATCTGGATATGGCCAAATGTAAGAAACACTAGTGTCTGAAGTGAGAAGCATCAGAGTTTAGTGCCTGAGACCCTGGAGAGGCTCATGAATATCACACTGGAGACAAGAATTATCACTGTTGCTCTCCCTGTGGCTTCCCCTTCCCTCTGTTGCTCACCTGAGCATTCACGCAGGCAGCTACATTTATTGGGTGTCCTCTGTTTGCCAGGTAGCTGCAGATTTGTCATCGTGGAAAGATGACTCTAGTTATCTCCAGGTCAGACACCTAACTTATTAACTTTGGGACTGGCCCAAAGATGCTTTGTCCAGGTCTCTGCATGCAATTGGCATTCAGCAAAGGCTTAGAAGTTTGGATGGAGAGGTGGGACAGCCCCCCAATTCCTTCTAATGGTGAAATATGGAGCGGACTGAAGCCATAAATGGCGAAAGTGTTAATAATTTTATGGTTTTCTTTCCCGTCTCTTCCCAGCTATGCCCGGGAGTGATTCTGGAGACCTTGACCCTTTGCTGTCAGGACATGACTTTTGAACTCCAGGCAGTGTCCCAGGTGTCCTAGCAAGGGCACAGCCCAACAGATGGACACATCTTTCCCTTGCTTTGTGAGCTTCCTCCAGTGCCCACCATCCTCCCATCCTTCCCCTTCCACCACTCCTGCCTTCAGACCTGGGCTCCTCTGTACCCGCAGGTAGACCATGAGCAGCCACGGCAATAGCCTGTTCCTGCGGGAGAGCGGCCAGCGCCTTGGCGGGGTGGGCTGGCTGCAGGGGCTGCAGGACAGCGTGCAGCAGAGAGCGCTGCGCACCCGCCTGCGCCTGCAGACCATGACTCGAGAGCACGTGCTGCGCTTCCTGCGCCGGAATGCCTTCATCCTGCTCACTGTCAGCGCCGTGGTCATAGGTGAGCCCTGCTTCCCGGAGGGCGGGGACTTCCGGGAAACGTCCTGCTTGCATGTGTCTTTGCTCCAGCCGGCCACTCTCACCTGCACACTCGTCCCACCTGCCACTGTTCCAACCCCCTATGGGTGCACACATTGTCACATATGTATATGTGCACTGTACACAGTTTACACGTGCACAAACATGAACATATTTTATGGGTGCTCAGAATTTACAGGTGCAAATTCCTGTGCACACTTACACAAATATACAGTTGTCTTGTGGTACCAGAAGCAGAGAAAGAGGATATGGAGGGATGAATGTATTAGAACTTATAAGCACATCCATTCCCACATGGGCATTCTACCTACAGTCTTAAGTGTTTAAATATATGTACACCCCCCCCATATTTGAAAATAGTAACATATGCACAAGTCTCGTGTATGTATACATCCAAGAAAGTGCAGATGCAAATTCACGTGTATGGGATTACATTCACAGGAAGATGTATAAGCTCACAAATGAGCATGCACTCATATGTGCATGCATGTGTGTGCTTGAATGGGTGCAGACGTCTGCACACATATCAATGTGTAACAAATCTTACATTTCTGCAATGTACACCTGTGCCAATGTGCACACAAGTGCATGTACTTGTAGAATGTTTTTCTCTTTCTCTCACTGATCCCCCTACCACAAGCCTTCTTGGAATGGGTGGGTCCTGTCTGGGCTGAGTGACCCACACTCCACTCCATGGACCCCTCTTTTTGGCTCTAGGGGTCAGCCTAGCCTTTGCTTTGCGCCCGTACCAGCTCACCTACCGTCAGATCAAGTACTTCTCCTTCCCTGGTGAGCTTCTCATGAGAATGCTGCAGATGCTGGTGTTGCCCCTCATTGTCTCCAGCCTGGTCACAGGTGAGAGAACCCAGTCCCTTGTTGACCTCGAGATCCCCTCAGAACCCAGGCTTGAACCTAGAGCCAAGACAGTTCCCAGCATGGGAGCTTGGGATCACCTTTCCAACTCAGCTACTCAAACATGGAGCCTGCACGTGGCCCACGGTCCTGGCCAAAACCCAGGTCCTTGACTAGAACCCAGGGTGAGGTTCCTGCTCCTGTATACCCACAGCACTTATCCCAGGAGCTTTCCTGTATGTCTCCTTGGAGGCAAAATGCCAGCCTTCAGGGCTCAAGTTATCCAGAGGGGAAGGAAAGGTGGTGGAGGGAGGGATGGGCAGCTAAGGAAGGTAGCTGGGCTATAGGGTGGATGTGCAGGAGGTGGATGTGAATAGGGTATACAAGGTTAGTGAGGTGGAGGTGCCAGGATGGGGGGTAGGGAGGGAGTGGGATGGGAGCACCAACAGTATCTACTCAGCATACAGTGAGGTGGGTGGAGAGCTGTGATTTGGGGTGGACTGTGGGATAAGGAGTGGGATGAAGATGAGGTTATGTGCAAATAGGAGTCAGTAGAGTTGGGGTTGAAAAGATTGGCTTGAGTTGGAGGGAAGGTAGTGTGGATGGTGGAGTTGTGTTTGGGGTAAAGAACGGGGTGGGATGTGAAGGTGTTTATGGAAAATAGAATGGGAATAGGATGGTGGTGTGGATGAATTGATTGTGGGGGACCCTGGGTGAGGTGTACGGGGACAGGATGTTTGGGGCAGTGGTTGCTGAGTTGGTGGTTTGGGAGGTGGAACAGATGGATGGGGAGTAGGTGATGGGGTATGAATGAGGATACGGGGGCTGCACTGTCTGTCCTCAGGTATGGCTTCCTTGGACAACAAGGCAACAGGGCGGATGGGCATGAGGGCAGCTGTGTACTACATGGTGACCACGGTCATTGCGGTCTTCATTGGCATCCTCATGGTCACCATCATCCATCCTGGAAAGGGCTCTAAGGAGGGGCTGCATCGTGAGGGCCGCATTGAGACCATCCCCACAGCTGACGCCTTCATGGACCTGGTCAGGTGATGTTCTAATTTTGATGGGATTTCTGGATGAACATGCAGCAAGGCAGGCAAACCCAACCTGGAAATGGTGACACCCCTTGGTTCCTATTTTTTGGTACCTATTTGTTGTCCTTTGCCCTTGCACATATCCTCCAAGAGAACTAGGATATGATCTTTGTACCCTTAGGCTGGGGGAGGCTATAGCTGCAGTGTCTTGGAGCCCAAGCTCCATTTGAGGGTGAATGATCCTTTTATGCAGCAAGATTTTCTATCCAGAAAATCAAGGTTGGCAGTATTTCTGCCCTAGTCACCAGCTAGGGCATTGCATGGACTTGGATGATTTTTAGGAACTGTCTCTGGTGTTTTGGGGTCTTAAGATGATATAGGGGTCAGATAGACCTGGATCTGAGGTTTGTCTTAGTCTATTTTCTGTTACTACAACAGGATACCCAAGACTGGATGAGTTGTAAGGAGCAAAGTTTTATTTAGCTAACATTCTGGAGGCTGGGAAGTCAAACAACATGGTGTTGGTATCTGGTGAGGGCCTTCTTGCTGCATTACAACATGGTGGAGGGCATCCTTGGTGAGACAGAGCAAGTGTGCAAGAGAGAGTCTGCTTTTATAACAAAGCCACTCCTCATTAATCCCTAAAGCCCTTGATCCATGAATGGATTAACCCATCTATGAGAGCCAAGCCAGCATGACCTAATCTTCTCTTTGAGGCCCCACCTCCCAATACCTCTGCAATCAATTTTCACCATGTTTTGGAGGGAACAAACCCTAGGTAAACCACAGCTAGGCCCGTCTGCACCTTTTAGCAGCTGTGGGTCTTTGGGCAACTACATAAGGTCCTCCAGTAAAGAGCTGTTAAATCAGATGGTGTAGGTCAGGTACCTCACTCAGCATTTGGCCTAGACTGAGCATTCCTATGTTGGTTGACATTATTATTATTGTTGTTATCATTACAAGTATCGCCCCAGGCTCTCTTCCAAGGTCTAACCACTTTTCCTTCCTTTGATGTTTTTCTGCAGAAATATGTTTCCACCCAACCTTGTGGAGGCCTGCTTCAAACAGGTCAGTGGGAAGCACCCAGTTGGATCAAGGTGGCTGGGAGGGCCATGGCGGGGCCTGCTGCTGGGTGGGTGACCCAAGCCTGAGGGGTGGGAAAAAGCAGCTGAGAGAGGGACGGGCAGGAGGGGCCTATGGAGGAATCCAGGAGAACGGATCGAGTTCCCTCAGGTGTGGTGATCAGGACAAGAGGACTCAGGCCAGGGCAGCCTGGGCTGGGGTAGAGATTGCAGGACTTCTGACCACACATAGTGAAGAGAGACGCCTTAAAGTCTGGCTGAGCACGGCCCAGGGAGCTAATGAAAATGCGGAATCTACACTTACTCTTTCATGCTTGGTTATTCACACCCTCATTTGTCGATTCATTCACTCATTTTTAAACACTTTTTTTAATTTTAAAAAATTTGTTTTTTGATTAGCAAAAATTATATAGTTGTCCTTTGATATCAGGAGGGAATTGGTTCCCTGCAGATTATAAAATCTGGGAATGCTCGAGTCTTGTATATAAAATGGCAGAGTGTTTGCATAGAACCTGTGCAGTCCTCCCAGAGACTTTAAATCGACTCTAGATCACATGTAATACCTAAAGCAATGCAAACACAATGAGAATAGTTGTTGTACTGCATTGTTTAGGGAATAGTGACAAGAAAAAGTCTGTACATGTTAAGTTCACAGCCAGTTTCCCTCCTCCAAATATTTTTGATCCATGGTTAATTGAACCCATGAAAGGGAATCCACAGATGTGGAGGGCCAACTGTCTATTTATGGGGCATAAATATGTATACATTGTGAACTAATTAACATATTCATTACCTCACATGCTCATTTTTGTGTTGAGAACACTTGACGTCTACTCTCAGTGATTTTCACAGTACAGTGTTATTAACTAGTGCCACCCTGTTGTACAATGGATCTTTGAACTTCTTCCTACCTAAGATTTTGTGCCCTTTGATCAACATCTCCCTAACTTTTCCCCACCAACCAACCTAGACTTGGGTGACCATTCTCTTATTTCAATGATACTACCTTTTGTGGATTTCATATATATCTGAGATCATATAGTGTTTGTCTTTCTATGTCTGGCTTATTTCACTAAGCGCAGTGTCTTCTATTGTCATCCAAGTTGTTGCAGATTTCAAGGTTTTCTTCTTATTTTTGAAGGCACAATAGTATTCTATCCTGAATATATTCTACATTTTCTTTATCCATTTGTCCATTAGTAGAGACAGGTTGATTGCATAGCTTGGCTATTGTGAATAGTGCTGCAGGGAGTGTGGGAATGCAGGAACAGGTTGTGTATCCCTTATTTGAAGTGCGTGGGATCAGAAGTGTTTTGGATTTTTGACTTTATCAGATTTTGGAATATTTGCATATACATAATGTGCTATCTTGGCGATAGGACCCAAATAGAAGCATGAAATTCATTTATGTTTCATGCATACCTCCTGTGTAGTCTGAAGGTGATGTTTATGCAACACTTTCAATGCATCTATGTTTTGATGGTGACTTGTCACATGAAGTCAGGCATGTGGAATTTTCCACATGCGTCATGTCAGTGCTTAAAAAGTTTCAGATTTTGGAACATTTTGGATTTTGGATTTTCGGACTAGGGATGCTCCATCTGCATCTCCTCGTGATTCTTATTTGCTGGATCATATGGTGTCCTATTTTTAATTTTTTGGGGACCCTCCGTTCCATTTTCTGTCATGGCTGTAGTAATTAATTCACTCCTCCTTCTATGCCTTGGCCAAGTTCTCATCAGCAATAAGACTTTCTGGGGTGGGGAACCAGGAATTGGTGTTTTTAGGACTTTCTCCAGGTGACTCTGCTACTGAGTCTGGGCCCCATCTCTCTGCATTTCAGTTCAAGACACAGTACAGCACGAGGGTGGTGACCAGGACCGTGGTGCGGACAGAGAATGGTTCTGAGCTGGGTGCCTCCATGCCGCCTCCGTCCTCAATGGAAAATGAAACCAGCATCCTGGAAAATGTCACTCGGGCCCTGGGCACCCTGCAGGAGGTGCTCAGCTTTGAGGAGACCGTGCCTGTGCCGGGTTCAGCCAACGGTATCAATGCCTTGGGCCTCGTGGTCTTCTCTGTGGCCTTTGGGCTGGTCATTGGTGGCATGAAACACAAGGGCCGGGTCCTGAGGGACTTCTTTGACAGCCTCAATGAGGCTATTATGAGGCTGGTGGGCATCATCATCTGGTGAGTGCTGGGCTGTGCCCTGGGGCGGTGGTGTTGGTACACGGGAAGGGCGGAGCCAGGGCTGGGACCAGTCAGGCTGTGTGGAAGTTGAAGTGATTGGGGACATCTGACCAAAGTCGTTCATCTACTCTATGTATTGGTTAATTTACTCGCCAACTCACTAACTCATCATGTATTTCTGCACTGAGTTATTCACTTGTTGACTATCTTCTTTGTGCATTCACTCATTCTTCTGTGTGTTGACCAATCATTCATTCATTGAAACTCATTCATCTATATTCATTCTTCCACGCACACCAAACGTACTATGGATTTTATTCCTGTATTAGTCTGTTTTTCATTACTATAACTAAATACCTGAAGTTGGGTAACTTCATAAAAAAGAGGTTTATTTAGCAGATAGTTCTGGAGGTTCAAGGACATGGTGCCTGCATTAGCTTGACTGTTTAGGATCTCCCAGTAGATGGCACACCCAAGAGCCAAAGATTATATCACAAGACAGGAAGCCAGAGAGGGATTGAGAGGTTAGGCTGGTTCTTACAACAACTCTCACTAGAACTAACTCAGGATCCCGTGAGCACTGCCTTGATCCCATCTAAGTGCAATGCCCCCTTTAACCTAAGGATCTCCCACTAGGCCCCACCTCTTAAAGGTCCCACCACCCTTAACATTGCCATCCCGGGGACCAGACTCCCAGTACATGAGCTCTTGGGGAACATGTGTAAATCATATCCAAGCATCATCCCAAATAATTTGAAAGTTGTATAGGAGACTTTAGGCCACTTTGACAGCTTGGAAGATTTTCAGATAGGAATAGAAGGGAGAGCCTATCAAGGATAAGCAGAGAATTAACGGGGAGTGTTAGAGGCCCAATAGAAATGGGAACCATGAATTTACAGTGGTGTCATTGGCTTGGTTTGGCAAAGTGTGCAGGTGTGCCAGGTGACTATCAGAGGTAAGAAGTCACAAACAATTGATCCAGGATTGAGGCATTTTGCAGAGGGGGAAGCAGAAGGATGGAGGCCACGGAGAAGCGTAAGACAGGTCTCAGGGTTTGACTTGGAGGGGATTCTGCAACCACGTACCAGAGCTCACTCCAGCCAGCTTAGGAAACACAGATAGGGCTGGAGAAGTCCCCTGCATCCTCCTTTTTGACCCAAGCTATTGCGCTGACTTTCCAAGTGGTTCCCACCTCCTCCGTTACGTTCACCATGAGAGTGATCAAAAAGGACATCCATTCCTGAAGACAGAGGAGTTAGCAGTGGCAGCCTGGGGATAGGTGAATGACGGACCACAGGCAGAAGCTCACAGGATTGAGTGACCGGCTGGTTTGTGTGCGCTGTGGTCTCCATGTGTCCCCCCAAAATCCATGTGTTAGAAACTTAATCCTCAAACTCAAATGTTGATGGTATTCAGAGGAAGAGCCTTTGGGAGGTAATTAGGGTTAAATGAAGTCATAAGAGTGGGGTTTTGTGATGGGGCTAGTGGCTTTATAAGAAGAGGAGTGGAGACCTGAGCTGACGGGCTCCGGGCTCGTGTCATGTGATGCCCTCTGCCATGTGTTGCAAGAAGGCCCCCCAGAGGCTGGAACCTTGGTATTGGATTCCCAGCCTCCCAAATTGTGAGAAATTAATTTTCTGCACAAATTCCCCAGCCTCAGGGCGGTGTTTTGTTATAGCAACAGCAATGGACTAAGGCCATGGGATGATCCTGCTTCCTTGGCCTCCTCTTTTCCTTCTCCCTCAGGGACTTTGCCCTGGCCGCAGAGCTTCCCTCCACATGCCCACGGTTCCTTCTCACCATGCAGGGCTCCACTTTAGTCACTTCTCCTGAGAAGTCCTGCTTGACCACCCACTTGGTGCACTTGTCACAACCCGGCGTTTGTTATTGCGGTGGTCCCCTCTGATCCACTGTTTCAGTTTCTGCGATTTCAGTTACCCACGGTAAACCAGGGGTCCAACAATATCAAGTGGAACATTCCAGAAATAAGCAGTTCATGAGTTTTAAATAACCGTCATTACAGCAAGTTTCTATGTCATGATTCATTGTATCATTGGCTATTGTCTCTCCCTGGGCCTCATTTAATTTTAAATTAATTTTTAAAGTTTAACTTATTAAACTTTACCATTGGTATGTATTTATTGGGGAAAAAAAACATGGAATATATATAGGCTCCAGCACTGTCCTCAGTTTCAGGCTTCCGAGGACCATCTCCCCAGAACGTGTCCCCCAAGGATTTCGCGTTTCTATGAGTACCTCCTGTTTTCCCCATTAGAATGTGTCTTAGTGCATTTGGAATATAGCAAAACTACCACAGACTGGGTGACTTACACAGGGAACATCCGTTTCTCACAGTCCTAGAGGGTGGGAAATTCCATCCAGATCATGGCACCCACAGATTCAGTGTGTGGGGAGGGCGTTCTGGTTCAGTAGGTCCTAGGTTGGACCTACTCTAACTCAACCCAAAGACTCCCTGAGTCTTCCTATGGTGGAAAGAGCAAAGCACCTCTCTTTTTTATATATATATATTTTATATAAAAAACATAATATAATTATATATATCATATATAATTATATTATATATAATATAATTATATATATATATAAAATATATATATAAAATATATAAATGCTCATCCATCATTGAGCCCTGCCCTCATGACTTAAAGTCCCTGCATCCTAATGCCTCAACTTAGGGATTCGGATCTCAACACGTTTTTTTTTTGTGGGGGCGTGGGGTACCAACATTCAGTCGCTGGCTGCGCCTAAGTGCCGTGAGGACAGGGAGCATGCCCCTGGAAAACAGTGCTCATTAGGTAGTTGCTGAATGAGTGGAGAATACACAGGTGATTTCGAGGTGTCCGTGGGAGGAGCAGTGACAGGGCCCAGGCTGGGGAGGCAGGAGACCACACACTGATGGGAGAGGGGTAAGGAGTACAAATACGGAACCGGGAGTTGAGGGCAGCAGACAGCAGATGTTTAGAAGGTCAGACTCGGAAGTGTCCCTGCATTCCTTAGGAAGGGGCCTGGAGTTGGGTGGGGAGGCCTGGAGTGGGGAGGGGGATGGAGCCCTCATAAGGCGGCTGGCCTGCCCTGGCCCCGTGGGAACTCTGGTGTGGGGTGAGTGTGAGTGAGTGGCAGGAGGAGGTGGGGTGTGTTGTGGGCTGGAGGGGAGGTGGGGAGGGATCCCTGACGGGTGTGTGGCTTGCCCAGGTATGCACCTGTGGGCATCCTGTTCCTGATTGCTGGCAAGATTCTGGAGATGGAAGACATGGCCGTCCTTGGGGGTCAGCTGGGCATGTACACACTGACTGTCATCGTGGGCCTGTTCCTCCACGCTGGCGTTGTGCTGCCCCTCATCTACTTCCTCATCACCCATCGGAACCCCTTCCCCTTTATTGGGGGGGTGCTGCAGGCCCTCATCACTGCCATGGGCACCTCTTCCAGGTATGGCCGTGCTCCCCTCTCTCCTCCTCCTGTCTTCCATGGGCTCTCCAGGGTCCCGCTCTCCCCCTACCATTAATGTCTTCTGGTTGCACAGTCCTGTCACAGGCTCTTGGAGACCCAGGTGGCCATTACTTATTTCATATGGAGGAGAACCTGTTTTATATGGAGGGGCCAATTTTGAGTTTACAGATGAAGATTCCAGAATGCCCTGGGAGCTCAGTCATTTACTAGCCCAAAGAGTCTCATCTTCCCTTGAGATAGTGTCTGGAAGCTCTCTTACTTCCTTGTGCACTTTTTGGTACTTTTAGGGGGCTCTTTATTAGCCCCCCTCATTAATCCCCATCACTAAAATTCAAAACAATTTGAGAAGATATGCAAGAGCCAAATAGATGGGAAAAAATGTCATTTTTATTGCTCATAATGCTCATTGAAGAACGTGCCTCTTTGATTCTAAATGAGATTGGTGCCACTACACCCCCTTGTCACCATAGAGCTGGGTGCCCAAGCATGCTCCATGAGTCCTGGTATTTCATGGCATGACATAAAGCTGACCAGACAGAGCACACATCCTGTGGCAAGCTGACCCCCAAAGAGATGCCCACTCCTTCCGCCAAACTCACCCACTAATGGAGTCACTCTGGCTCTTCTGGGTGGAGGGTTAGTGTAGTTGGGGTTTATCCCAGGGCACCATGAGGCAGAGGGCAATTGGGGTCTTCTGTGATACCCTTGTCGTAGCCCCCAGGTGTGGGAGGTCAGCAATCTGGGACTGGACTGTTGGTTTTTAGGCCTTTGGCTTTAAGTGAGTCAAGAGGCCTCAACCCTGGGTTGTCCGCAAGGCTGAGTTCTCCCTTCATGAGGAGGAGCGCCCCTCTCCATCTGGACCCTTGTGCCCATGCCCTCCTCCTCTTGCTTGTGTTCCTACCTGGCCCCTCCGTGTTCCCGAGGGGAGTCCTCCTTGGGTCCAGTGCTACACCACTCTCCCCTGCCACTCCCAGTGTCTCTCTCCCCCAGCTCTGCAACCCTGCCCATCACCTTCCGCTGCCTGGAGGAGGGCCTGGGTATAGACCGCCGCATCACCCGATTTGTGCTGCCGGTGGGGGCCACCGTCAACATGGATGGCACTGCCCTCTATGAGGCCTTGGCTGCCATTTTTATTGCTCAAGTCAACAACTATGAGCTCAACCTGGGCCAGATCACCACAATCAGGTGAGGTGCCTCAGTTGGGACCTGGGAGACCATCAGTGTGACGGTGGGAGGAGGGACCCAGAACTGGCCGTCAGGGGAGGCCTCAGACATTGCAAAGGGGAAATGGGTGAGCCCAATGCTGGATGAGGTTAAAGGTGAGACTTTGCCACCTGAGGCTGTCAACAGCCGACAAGAGGGTGCTAGACATTTCTCCCCTCGCACGCTGTTGAGAGACATCCCTTTTCCCAGAATTTTCCAAAGTGTGGCTGGAATATCCTAAAAGCCCAAAGTTTGTGTTATAATTATAGATTCCTTGGTTCCATCACATGTAGGGAAAAACCACAGATGTAGGGAAGCATGCCACAAAGATAGTTTCAAATTTAGAAATCCTTTTGATCAAGGTCCCAAAGAGCAGAAATGAGCACTTCTCATGAGAAATGTCTTAGTGAAGTTATCAGAAAAGGTGAGGATGGGAGACTTTTAGAGGGTGTTCTTCGGTTGATCTGGGGACTTGGCATCACTTCCAGCTTCTTCCTAGGGAGAGACCTTGGTGACGATGGCTGGCATGAGACCTACTAGGTAATGCTTCATACATTAGCAGCAGGTAGAGATCGACTGCTTGGAGATTCCTAGATTGGATCCACTCTAAACTCGACCCAAAGGCTTTTGAGGTGGTCCTGATAGAATCAGCTCAACCTATCCAGAGGGGGCTGCCTGCCTCCCAAGGGCTCCCACAGGTCACTGTTTATGCCAGGGCCAGGGGTTGCAAGGGAAGGGCTCCCTCACTTACCATTCTGTCCTCCTTGAGACCCATTCATAAGGCTCTGCTCCCCCCCACCAAAGGAAATCAAATCCAAACAGGATAAACTCAGGAGAAATTATGTGGCTTTTTAGAAAATAGAATTTTACTCCATTTTAAAAAATATTTTATTTTATCTATGTGGTTCTGGTGCTGGGGTTTGAACCCAGGGCCTTCACATGGAATTTTACTTCCTGGATATATTTTTGATAGCAGTAACTGACACCTTGAAGCACATATCATGTCCTAGCACTGTGCTCCTCTGCTGCTCATAGTAAGAAGGTTGGCACATGTCCTGCACTTTACAGAAGAGGAGAGGGAGACTCTGGGTTCAGGTCCAGTGTTGGACAGCTCATGCCTTGAGTCTGATGCCACCCTGATGCCACAGTCCATGCTCTGTCACCAGTCCCAGCATTTGCTCAACCATGGATCACATTGGTTCTGACAGAGCCATCCTCTGGGCTAAGCATCTCCTGGAACTCCATGTTGACAATTTAATTTTTTCCACACTTTTTAATTGATGCATTGTAGCTGTACATTGATGGAATTTGTTATTACATATTCATACATGCACACAATGTAACAATATAATTTGACCAATATCACTGTCCAGCACGTCTTCCCTTTGCTGATGTTGAAAATTTTAGAATCTGCTAAGAGGTTTCAGAGGCCACCAGGCAGAGGATGGCACCCACAGGTTACTAGTACCTTTCCTGGTAGCTCATGGACTTTTAGAGTCCTTTTAGGCAATGTTGGGCAATCAGAGTTGATACAGGATTTAAGATCTAGCCCATTCCTAGATCTGCTCTCTTTACTTTTGTTTATTTTTTAAAATCAATAAGTTTAAGTAAGAATTTAAGCTCTAGCACTGGACATCTCTAGACCCAGGATGGTCCAGAATGTTCCCATCTCTAAATTAGTGAGCTATATTTAACTACTTTTCTTTTTCTTTTTAGTAGTGGGGATGGAACCCAGAGGCATTTTACCACTCAGCCACATCTCCAGTCCTTTTTATTTTTTATTTTGAGAAGGGTCTCACTGAGTTGCTTAGGGCCTCACTAAGTTGCTGAGGCTGGCCTTGAACCTGCCATCCTCCTGCCTCAGCCTCCCAGGTTACTGGGATGACAGGTGTGCACCACCTTACCCAGCATACTACTTTTCTTTTAAAAACTTCTGTCCTTTTTCCCTCCTTGGCATTAATGAGGTATAACTGACAAATAAAACTCCTACATATTTTAGGTGCACAATGTGATTTGATATATGCATACACATTGTAAAATGATGATCTCCATCAGGCCAATGAAAATCCATTGCTTCACATGGTCACCCCCACTTCTCCCATTTCTTTGGGTAGTGAAAACACTAACAGCCACTCTTTTTGCAAACTTCAAGTATACAGTAGCATATCAGTAATTATCGTCACCATGCATAGATCCCAGAACTTGGTTCATCTTATAACTGAAACTCTGACCAACCTCTCTGCATTTTTATCCCAACCTCCTTACCCTGGGGAGTCACCGTTCTACTCTCTGCTTCCGTGATTTCTGACTTTCTTTAGAGTCTATGCATGAGGGAGATCACTCATGAGCAGGATTTCCCTTTCTGCACTGGCTGAAGAATTTTTAAGATGCCTCGGGAAACTGACCCCTTCCCCTTCTCTCTCTCTCTCTCTCTCTCTCTCTCTCTCTCTCTCTCTCTCTTTCTCTCTCTCTCCCCCCCCTCTCTCTCCACCCTCTCTTCCTTCCTCCTGTTTTCCTGTATTCTCTCTCCACTTGCAGCATCACGGCCACAGCGGCCAGCGTTGGGGCTGCTGGCATCCCCCAGGCCGGCCTGGTCACCATGGTCATTGTGCTCACGTCTGTTGGGCTGCCCACGGAAGACATCACACTGATCATAGCTGTGGACTGGTTCCTGTGAGTGTTTTTGGGTCGGACCCTGATGCCAGCTCTCCCCGCCCCACTGTTTTGTGATCCAGCAGGGAAAGGGGTCCTTGGAGAGTCCTCGGCCTGTGGACCCCAAAGCCCATAGAGTTAATAGTGGGAAACAACAGGGAGGAGACAAACCCTGAGGGTTTTACCATCAACCAGAACAGCTCCTTTTTGACCTGTTTCATGTATACATCATAAGAAGGTGCTCCATGGCATGGTCTGGCTTTGTATCATACAAAAAATAGGTATTTTTTTCTCTCTGGTAAAAATTTTTAATTTCAAAACCAAAAGAATTTTGTAAGTGAGAAGAAAACATAGGTCACCTACAACACTAAGTAGGAAGGAATTTTGATTGATGAATTTCACCTTTCAGTGATGGATAAAATAATTTTGAGGGCTAAATCTTGGTGGGTTTATGAGTTAAAATGATGTACCTAGTAAAATGCCACTTTTATGTGAAGACAATAGGAAAGCATTTTTAGGTAGATAAGGACTGTTCTGTCCTCCCTCCCAGCTGTTCTTCCTCCCTCCCTCCCTCCCTCCCTTCCTTCCTTTCTTCCTTCCTTCCTTCCTTCTATCCACCATCCATATAAACATAATCTGGACTTTCACCCCAGTGGGAGCTGTGGGTGAGGACTTGAGTCCCATGGGAAGTCTGTAGCCTGCCCTGGTCAGGACCTCCGTTGGCCCATCCTGGCTGACTCACTCATGGTGGTTACTCTCCTGATTCTATATGCATTTCAGCTTATGGCCCCTAATTGTCTGTATCAACATTTACATCTTAAAAAAGTATCACGTTGCTAAGAACAAATCAGAGTGTCTCAGAGCTGGCCCAGCCTTTGTCAGGAGAGGAAACTGAGGACAGAGACGGGGAGGCCCCCCCTTGAGGTCAGGTGGTCAGAGACTGGACTGGAATGTGAGCCCAGGGAGCCTCCCCTTGTGCAGCCTTCCTTCTGTGGAGCTTTCTAAGTCCCCACGAATGGCAGCTTCTCTCTCTTCTCTACCAGGGACCGGCTTCGCACGATGACCAACGTGCTGGGGGACTCCATTGGAGCGGCCGTCATTGAGCACTTGTCCCAGAGGGAGCTGGAGTTGCAGGAGGCTGAGCTCACCCTCCCTAGCCTGGGGAAGCCCTACAAGTCACTCATGACACAAGAAAAGGGGGCGTCCAGGGGCCGGGGAGGCAACGAGAGTGCCATGTGAGGGGCCTTCAGCTCTTCTCCAAGGCAGGAGGAAGGGGACTGGGGAGGGGACCCTGAGGACAGTCTGCTGCTCAGCCGACCCTGGGCTGCACACAGGTTCTGCTTGGCTTCTTTGTGAGAGGGACTAAGATAAAGGAGCAGGAGTGAAAGCTATTCAGGGTCTGTGTTTGTCTCAGAGCACAGGCTGAGAGAGGGAGTGAGCCAGGAAGGGGAGGAAAGTTTTCTCCTGGGTTTTGGGGGAGAGGAGGCTTCAGGTTCAACAAGAAGAAAGGTCACCYGGTGTTCTTTCTTGTCTCAAGGACTGGTGGAGCTGAAGAGGGTAAAGAAAAACTGTACTGTTTCTCATAATAAAAAAAAAATATTCGTGGCCTTTGTGTTGGGATTCCAAAGTCCACCTTCAGATTTCAGTGATTCACCGGAAAAACCCCGAGCTTGGAAGAGCCATCTACTCATGGTCATGGTTTATCACAGTGAAAGTAAGAGATTAAACCCAGCAAAGGCAAGGAGTGGTTGGGGCAGGGTCCGTAGACCACACGTGAGTTTCTAGCTCCTTCCTGCAGCTGCGTGTGCCACGTGCTTCTCCCAGAAATGACGTGTCACAGCGTGCATGGTGCACTGTCAACCAGGGATGCTCACCTGAATCCTGGTGGGCAGAGTGGTTATTAAGGCATGGTCACATAGGTGTGATTCTATTGATTCTTCAGTGCCCCCCAGAGGTCAGTCTGATACAGCATGGTCTAGGGCTCCGGGTGAGTAAAAATGGGCATTGCCATAGATGACATTGTTAGTGTAGACTCCCTGGGATGGCCCAGGGCTCTGGATTACAGACACACTTATCAGGAAGGTTCCAAAGATCAGAGGCCATCTTCCAGGAGGCAGTCAAAATCCAGTCCTTTCTTTGGGGTGAGTGGGCCTGGGGAACCCCAACTTCTCAGAGTTAACCATTTATCGCACAAACTCCAAGGCTGTAGATGGGGAAAGCAACTTCCTGTGGGGAGGGTAGGTGGGTACAGTAGCCCCAGCTTTTGACTCCTGAGGTTGAGTGACATTGTATCCCCATGCCTGGCCTCAAGAGTATCTTTGCTATACAGGGGTGGAAATAGTGTTATTTTCCTGTGACCTAAGGGACCAGGCGGGACATTAATCCATGGAGAAAACATGAGTAACATGACTCTAGTGAAACTCCATGGGCCCTTTGTCCAAGACCATACACTTATTTCTAAGTTAAATTAGTTCCACTTGAGCATCTCCCCCAAGACAGAAGGAAGATCCAAGTGCAGATCCATTCTTTAGGATCCTAAGACAGCCCTGAGCAGAACAATTCAGAAAAGGAGGGGAAGGCTCCAGAGCTTCTGTAATCATGGTCACTGCAGATGTGGGACGTTTATGGTCAGAGTTTGGAAATGGTCTATGCAAAAGCATTTGCCAGAGGTCACATTGTGAGCATAGTCTCTGCTTCTAAACCCTCCTACGACACATATGGCCCCAGGGGCCCTAGCCAGGGACTCCCAATCTCCAACCAGAATCTCAGAACCACGTTATCCTACCCCACAAGGATCTGCAGCCCCAGAAGGGTCTTTGTGGGAAGGAGTCATGAAAACTCAAGGGATCCATGTCATGGAGGAGGAAAGGATCCGTGTTCTTCCACGTGAGGACCTTCCTCCAGCCCTGTTTTCTTTATTAAGTCTGTGTCAGCCATCTTCCCATTACCATGACTCATACCCAAGACCATCACTTTATAAAGAGAAAAGGTTTGCTTCAGCTCACAGTTTGGGAAGCTACGGTCCAGATTTTGGGTCTCATGGTAGAGGCACCTGGGGGAGAAAGCTGCTCACCTCATGGCCAGGAAGCAAAAAAAGGAGAAGGAGGTCCAGCAAGCTCTTGAGAGCACGCCCCCAGTGATCTCTTGCTAGGCCTCAACTCTCAATTTCCCCCCAAGGACACCAAGCTTGGGACAGAGCCTTTAGCACATGGTCCTTCTTGGGCCATGCAATCTGGTTTTCAAAAATAATTGGATCAGTGGTTGTAGCTCTGTGGTGGAGTGTTTGCCCCCCACGTGTCGGGCACTGGGTTCAATCCTCAGCACCACATAGAAACAAATAAATTAATTAAAGGCATTGTGTCCATCTTCAACTAAAAAATAATTAAAAAAAATAAATGGATCATTTGGGGGAGATTGTGGATTGGATTAGATTTTCTTTCCATCCTTTCAGTTGCCCTGAGATGGACAGAACAAGACAAATCTGCCCCTGAGCACAGAGGGAATCTGTAAGGTTCAGGATTAGCTTTCTGGGTTCATGACAAGGAGGGAAGATGGACATACAGTGGGGGAGGTCAGGATCTAGCTGGAAGCCACAAGCAAAAGATGGACACTCACAAGCCCGAACAGAGCTTGTGTCCACTCTGCTCCTCTTCCTATGATGATGGGCATATCCTGAAGAACCCAGAGCCATTTTTCATGGTGGTAAACACACACCCCCTGGCCCAGGAGGCAGCAGCTGAAGGGAACAGAGAGAAATGGCAAGCCTGGTGCCACTTCACACCACTGAGCTGATGAGCCACCACACAGCAGCTGCTGTTCCTTTAACTCTGTAAATGATCCGAGAATCTTCTCTGAGGCCTGTATCAGTTTCCTCTGGCTGCTGTAACAAATTATCACAATCTGTCTGGCCTACAACAACAGACACTTGTTTTCTAAAGTAATACTTTTGGAGGCCAGAATGAAGTTCAAAATTACAGTATTGATCGTGCTCTTTCCAAAGCCTGCAGGGGAAGATCCTCCTGACTTCCTCTAGCTGCGGGTGGCTCCAGTCATTCTTTGCTTTGTGGCCACATCACTTTAACCTCTGCTTCTATCTCTACACAACATTCTTTTTTTTTTTTTCTTCGTCCTTTTCTTTTGCATTTTATAAGGATCCTAATTGCAGGACTTAGGCCCCTCCAGGTAATCCATAGTGATCTCACATCAAAATTATTTTTTTAAATGAAATCTTCTAGAACCCCCTTTCCAAATGATGCCACATTCACAGGGTCCAGGAGGACATATCTTTGGTAGGGCCATTAATAAACCCACTAACTGGCCCAAGAAATGTATCTCAGCCTAGAAAAGAGCAGGGAGACGGAGAATGGAAGACAGTCATAAAGGTATATTTATTTTATTTATCCAGTGGCCAATATGGACACTGGGGCTCCTACTGGGGAATCCTGGAGCCAGTGCAATGCATCCTTCAGAGTTATCTTACTCATTGAGCAAGGAAGTTATATACCAACTCCTGTCAGTCCTTGGTTAAGGAGTGACTTATGGGGCATTGATTGTCTGTGTCCATGGGCAGAGTAGACGCCAGTCAACAGAGGAATCTCTCAGACAAAGATATGCATATATGTCAATTTGAACCAGTAAGCATGTGCTAAGATGATAAGGCCTGCTGGGATAGATTCAACATTGTGCTTCCCTGTGGACTCCACCTTCTTGGGATGTAGTTGCAAGGGCTGCAATGATAGAAGCCATCTTGTGACCATGAGGGTGGTGACCATGAGGGTGAGAACCACATATTAAACATGGTAGAGCAGAAAAGTTGAAGGATCTTGAACTCTGGAAGAACAAACTTGAACCACTTCCTGTTTCAAGCCGTTAAGCCCCTCTCTTCTTATTATTCATAAAGTGCACAGTAGGTCATTGTGAAGTATAACTTCCCCACTGTGCTGTAGAACACTGGAACTTATTTTTTCTTTTTAACAGGCACAARCAAAAAAATGTTCCTTAAATGAAACTACTTTAGCTTAGTCAGTGAGCAAACTTATTATTAAATCATCATCCCAAGACAAAACAGTCAGCAATTTATGTGTATCTTTCAAAAATAATAACTGGGAAAGATAATTTTTAAAAAGAGGAGCAAAGAAACATTTGTCCTTCTTTTTAAAATTTTGAAATATGGTCTCACTAAGTTGATTAGGGCCTTGTTAAGTTGCTGAGGCTGGCCTTGAACTTGTGATCCTCTGCCTCAGCCTCCCAACTCACTACTATTACAGGTGTGCACCACTGTATCCAGCTTCATTCTTCTCTTTAATAACATGTTTAAAACTTGTATTCCTCAAGGCACTGCAAACTTGGCTTATTTAAATAGATATGTCAATGCAGCCCAATAATAAAAAGAAACCCAGGAAAGTTAGAAGTGGATATAAAAGTGCCCAATATTTGATACAGAAAGAAAGGATTTTGAAATAAATAGTGCTTGAATCCTTCATTGTTAATTGGAAGCAAAATCAAGGTAAATTCCTGTCTAATGCCAATCATTATAATACAGTGAAGTTGGTCAGAAGATCTCAAGCTGGCTCACAGGAGAAAGCACAGATGAACACTTGGAGCATAAACCCAGGAGGAAGATAAAGAAAGGAATAGAACTGAGAACATCATGGACGAATTCATGCATGTTAACCATGTGTAGGGAAAAAAAAATTAAAACAAAAAAGGAAACCCAGGGAACATATTTAGAACATATACAGCATTATAATCACATCAATGTAGATAAATTTGTTTAAAATAATTAAAATGAAAATATTTAATATGATATCTGATCCAAGGAGGGGAGCCAAAATAGAGAAGGAATAACGGCCAGGAAATCATGACACCATGTTGGAATCCGTCAAGGGATCACACTGTCACTGAATGTGTGCCACGTGGTCAGTTAAACCTCAATAAAACAGGAAAGGAGAAGGGACACAGCTACCTGAGAAGGAAGTGGAAGTAGAAAGCAATCGTGCCCTGCAAGGTGGCCTTTTGGCTCCTCGCTGGCCACACGTGGGATGATGGACGGTCTCACGGATCTTCACCTCATCACCCGGAGCCGTCTGGGCTGGGTCACTCCTGGGGATGTGTTCCTGGACTGCGCTGTGGTGCGGGGCTCTGTGAAGGGAGACCCGATGAATCTTGTTCTCTGGCTTGGCTTATTTCTAAAGCCCCCGACCCCCAACACAGGACATTTCTCGGTTGGGGAATGGAATCCCAGAAGTGGGGATGTAAGTCAGAGGACTCCCATTTTTTTTCGATGTTTTTATTATTATTATTATTATTATTATTATTATTATTATTATTATTATTATTATAAAGTTAGTCCAAGGTTCCACGCCATTGTGCCTAAGAGAAGGAGCTGCTTTTCCATCCCTGGGTTTGAACTTTGTCCTCACATCCGAGATCTTGACTTAGAGACCCATAACCTCTTACTTCTTTATCTACAAACAGGAGGAAAGGACACTGACCGCTGCTGCTGTTGGGACAGGATTCACCTGTGTTGTCTATGGGCTCACGTGTGGAAAGTGTTCTTCCCTGTTGTGATGTGGGAAGGGGGTGGAACCGTTAAGGGGTGGAGCCTATGCAAGTGTGGTCGTCTGAGTCAGTGTGCAACCTGGTCAGTGTGGTCTCTGCTCTTGGAAGGAGTTCATGCGGGCTCGGTTCTCGTGTGACCTTGGTGGCTATAAAAGAGCACAACTGGCCCCTCCGCGCTCTGGCTTCCTGTCTCACCATGTGACCTTTCCTTCATGTGAGGGCTACTGGCATTCCACACCCCCCCGCCTGATAACACAGAGGTACCCTTACCAGAGCCAGAGTCATTCTGTTGGGACTTTCAGTCTGCAAACATGTGAAATAATTAACTTCGTTTCTTTCTAAAGTACCTGGATTCATGTATTTTGTTATAGCAGTTGAAAGTGACTAATACATCACATCAAAGGGTTAATGGAGGCAGAGCTGGTGGGGTAGTGGGATTCCAGATGCCCAGTGCCACTCCTGGGTGGATTGAGAATCACTGGAAAAGTGGACTACAATAAGAAATATGGTATCCGAAGCAGAAGCTCAAGTGCATCATCTGTGAACACGAGTGCTTCCAGGAGGAGCCGAGGAAGGCCCAGAGGGGATCACTGATGGTGTCTGGGTACAGGAGTTTCCTCTTCCCCCGACTTCTGCAGATGGAGACCTTCTGACTCAGATGACACCGACTCTTCAGAGAACAGTGAGGCAGAGGGGACCGAGTTGTCTGACACACAGCTCCTAAAGGAAAAGCAGCGGTCTTCAGGACGCCCTGCCCCCGTCTCTCCCTGCCTCCTCAACAGGGTTTCCCTTCAGGCCCTGGACCTTCCCCCACACTYGACCTGTCTTGTCCCTCTTCTCCCCGGTTCCTTCTGACTACCTGGCTCTGCAGCCACCCGGGCCCAGTCCACTGAAGCTCACGATGGAGAAGCACCCCCAAAACTCCAGGAGTCAGTGGGTGCCCCTGACTGCCCTGTGGGTGGGAGCTGACCTTCCCTTCCAGGCCACTGGAACAGCCCTGTCCCCCTGTTCCCTCCCAGGGTGCTCCCCCACATGATCCTGAGCACCCTGCAGCTCTGCAGGCAGAGGAGATGATGCTCTGGATGGGGATGATGACCTGGTGACCAACATCCTGGAGTGACCTCCCATGCCATCTGCCAAGCCCCCATCCAGCCCACGCCTCCTGTGCCAGCACACGCGTGTCCCAGCTTTCTCAGCGATGTTTACTGATGCCCATTAGTCATGCTTCAGGCCACTGACACAATCAGAAAAGGTGTAAACAGCACAAATGTCCCCCAGGAAGGTGGCAGGGGCCCTGCCCTCATGACCCAGCCCCATCCAGGGGACAGCTATTTAAATGAATGGCCAGAAGCATCGGCTGTCTCTTGGGAAGGCAGAGACCATGTGGTGGCCACCCCTTTAGAGGGTCATCTGTACAAGGCTAGGACTTTTATTTTTTAAATGAATATTCTGTACTAAAGGAGTGGTCTTCAAAAAAAAAAGTTATTGGAAAGATTTTAAAAAAACATTTTTAGTTGTAGATGGACACAATACCTATATTTTATTTACTTATTTTTATGTATGTGTCTCACACATATGAGGCAAGTGCTCTAACACTGAGCTACAACCCCAGCCCAGTTACTGGAAAATTTAATTTGATGATTTATGAAACACTGAAATACTACCAGCACATACAGAGTATTGTTATTAAGATGATTGATGTAAATAGCTTTACATTTTTTCCAGTACAACACCTTGTATTAAATTAATAACCTTGTATTTTCTGATCCAGATTTGATTTTTATATATAACAATTCAGTTGTCTGATTTTCACTTCATTGGACAAATATTTACTGAGCATAAATTTCTTACCAAGAACAGTATCAGGCATTGTAGTTGAAAAGGTGGAAAAGATACAGCTCGGAAATCCCATGAGTCCATATTTTGGATGAATCGATAAATTCAGCAAGGTTGATTTGACAAAAGGAAAGAGATTCAGATACAAGGGAAAAATCTTTGAGTTAGGTTTATTTGCATCACCTCAGAAATGTAACTGAGTTTCCAGAAAACATTACTACCACACTGTAGGTGTACATCCATCACTGCTGAGCATATATGGCTGACACAGAAGATTTGATTCATAAATAAGCCCACAACAGGCCCAGGCATGGAGGCATATGCCTGCAATTCCACCTCCACAGGAGGCTGACGCAGGAGGTTTGCAAGTTCAAGGCCAGTCTGGGCAACTTCATGAGAGCTGGTCTCCAAATATGGGGTTGGGAATGTAGGTACATGGAGTAGCATTGGCCTAGCACGTGTCAGCCCCTGGGTTCTATTACCAGGACAGAAAAAAAAAAAAAAAGAAATCCAGAATGTTCTTGTTCATGTGTTCAGCTAACAAAGGGATTTCACAGAAGCATTAGAACAGAGGTCATCAGGAGTTACAAAGGGTAGGGGTGCAGGATAGAGGGAGGCCCAATAAAGAGGATAAAATCCGGTTATACAAGAGAAATACGTTCTAATGTTCCACAGCACAGTTGGGCAACAGTAGGTCACAATAATTTGGTATATATTTTATAAAAAGGTAAAGGAAATGAGTCCATAACTTGACAATAAAACAAAACGATAAAGTTAGCAAGATGTAAATGTTAATGAACCGGATTTGATCCTTACACATTGTTTGCATGTACTGATCATCACTCTGTACCTCATCAATATGTGCTATTATTCCATATCAATAACAAATATATAAATTAAAAAAAAACCAATCAATATTGCAGATAGTAGAAAAGGTCCAGTTGAGTCCATACAAAGTTTCAATGAGTGGTTAGTTAGTAAAAAGAGTGGTACAGTATTTGACACTATGAACAATTTTTAGGACAGGAAAACCCCAAGGAAGATGTGAAAATGAGTGGCCTTAAAATACACCAAGAAGGCCAGGCACGATGGCACATGCCTGTAATCCCAGTGGCTCAGGAGGCGGAGGCAGGAGGACCGCGAGTTCAAAGCCAGCCTCAGCAATTTAGCAAGGCGCTAAGCAACTCAGTGAGACTTTGTCTTTAATAAAATCCAAAATAGGGCTGGGAATGTGGCTCAGTGGTCAAGTGTCCCTGAGTGCAATCCCTGGTAACCCCCACCCCCAAAACAAACACACCAAGCAGAGGTAGGTTGCCTGGAGGCACGAGGCTCTCTGGTCTTCACTATGGTGCACACTGTGACTCAGAGATGTGCATTGATCCTTTCACGGAGAGGCACCATCTTGCTGAGGACTCTCCCCAGGGCCACCTTGATGTCCCTGTTCCTCAAACTGTAGATGAAAGGGTTCAGCATGGGGGTGACCATAGTGTATGTCACTGAGGCCATCAGAGTTATCCTAGAAGACTGTGTGGCTACAGAACTTTGGTAGACCCCAAGGCCAGTGCCATAGAACAAGGAGACCACCAGGAGGTGAGACCCACAGGTGGAGAAGGCTTTGTACTTGCCTCTATCTGATGAGATCCTCAGGATGGAGGAGAAAATCTGAGAGTAGGAGAAGAGGATGCCAGTGAGAGGGAAGAGACCCAGGACGATGGTCTCGGAGTACAGCACTATGTGACTGATGAGTGTGTCAGAGCAGGCGAGCTTGAGGACAGCAGGAAGATCACAGAAGAAGTGAGGGATTTCCATGTTGGTGCAAAACAAGAGCCTCAGGATGGTCAAGGGCCCAGGCAGGGCACCCAGGACACTGACCAACAAGGACCCCAGAGCCATGAGCAGACAGAGCCGTGGGTTCATGATGTCCATATAGTGCAGGGGGTGACAGATGGCCACAAAGCGGTCATAGGCCATCACTGTCAGGAGCAAATTGTCCTGGCATCCAAACAAAAGAAAAAAATATACCTGTGAGACGCAGCCTGCAAAGGTGATCCCTTTGCTGTGAGTGTG